TTAGATCCTTACAAATTTCATGAAATCTTTTTCGGATATCCAAAAAATCCTGAACTACTTGAATCTTTTGTCTCCCAGCACTGGGGACTGACCCATAATCTCTTTCCCAGCCAGTACACCAAATCTGTAGCCAACCTTGTCACTGACTCCAACAGCTGCTTAAATTCACCAGAGGGGATAGCAGCAATCCTACTTCTAAAAGAACACCACAAGGCTTACGTTCATGATGCCTTGAGGAGACGCTGAAAGGAAGGTCAAAGGTGAAGAAAAGATAAAGTGCAGTACAAGAAGATCAGTAAAGTTGAATCTTCTTGATGGAAAACTCATGTCTGCTTCTTCATGATGCAAACAACATAACTTCATTTCAAAAAGCCTCTGGTTTTTGTTGATTTTTTCCCTTCTCTTTTGCTTTGGAGTATTTTGAAGTTTATTGAAGTTTTTTTTCTCTTTTTTTTAGGTCAGAGCTCTGTGCATCTAAAAGCCTTATTCAGTTGTTCTTGTCACGAGTACTTTGTCTTACACAGGCTGCATTACTCTTGTAAACAGAGGCAGCATCAAAGTGAAAGCAGATAGAGTCACATCAGTGGATTAAGGCCTTCTGCATGATAAAGTAGCTACCTAGGGTGGGATAAACTTAATATGTGAAAGAATGTTATTGAGGAGGAATAAAGTGCCAAAACTCTGTCATTCTCTTAGTAATGTCCTAATCTAATGCCTGACACCAAGGCCTTAGGCCAGTGTTAGTGCTAATCAATGAAATACCCATCTGTGTTCCCTGTCCTTATCGCTATTTAGAACTAGCCTAAACTCAATTATTTTCCCTTAGAGACCAAGATGGGATATTAAGTTGAGTGAAAGGGATTGTGTCTCACAAAGAAATCCCAGTGTTAAAATGCAGAGGTGTCAACATTGCTAACTAAATTTCAGTTAAACAGAGATTAAATGCTAGTTCTTTGGACACGAAACACTGCATAGATTAAATCTGGTTAAAAATCCTTATTTAGAGAGTGGCTAAAAACTGTTAAGCAGTTTAATCAACTTATAATGTAAATTTCTTCCCTCGTATGCATTATTTATCCCCTGCAATAACCATTGTACAATAAATGTTTGAAGAGTACACTCACTAAAGCAATAGGAAAGCACAGTCTCTTGCTGTTACCCAGAGCTGTGAATGATACAGACATTGCCAGATACATAATGGTTATCTGAGGAGTGTGTAATTTATCCCACGAGTGAACTGCATATCCCATAATTCAAAACTGCCTTAGTCACAAATGAGTTATGGAGGGTTTTTTTACAAGTGGGAATAATCTAAAATCCCATTGATATTCATTATTGTATTTTTGGTTCATAACACCAAGATAATATTTCATATATTTTTTATTTTATTAAAATTTCAAACTTGTTTGGCTGTCTTTTTGTGTCTTTTTTTTTTTTTTTTTAATTAGAACACTGTAAAGACAGGAAGATATTGCAGAAGTACACAAACATCTTTTCTATGCATTCAGGTGGCGATAAAAAAAAAGAAATAAATAAACCTCCAAATTAGCAAGGAATACATGCTTTCAACTCCTTTTTAATGAGTACCTTTTTGGGTTAATTTCTGAATAGTATCTGGGCTTAAATCACTATATGCATTTCTTAAGAATTTTCTCTTCTGATTTCTTTTTAAATTATAAAATAATTGGGAGTGCTTTATTACCACAAGCATTTTTCCCACAAAATAATTTAAAGGTTAACAGTCAAAAATGCTACAGAAATGAGCAGCAGAACCATTTTTTTTCTAAATGAAGAGACATGCATTCTCTGGGGTGTATATGAATAAAAAAAGGTACTTAAGCGACTAAAATTAGGTAAGCATTTCTAAGACCATCATGGAAACACCAGAGGAAAAAATAGAAGGAACATCTCTTTGGCTCATTTGCTGATAATTCACCAAATGCAACTATCCTCATGGTACTGGTCTTACTCTCAGTATTACCTTTTGTTTCTCTTTGAATTACCACTATTGCTTTCTTGATTGCCAGTTTGCATCTTTGTTTAGCGTCTCAAGCAAATTAACTGAAGAGAAAGAAATAACATTTTTGTAACAGTGGTAAGCACATAATGCTGAGAGGGCATTTGGCGCTGTGAAAGTGTTTTTTCTTCTTAGCCAGAAGCATGGGTATAAATGCAGTGAAGCTCTCTGACTGTGGGGATCCAAGCTCTCTCCCTCTTCTCTCCAGCAGAAGTTACATTTAGTATGTTCTTTCTCATTGGTAAGTAATATATACATTTTCTTATTTGCAGATTAGCCTCTACTTTCTTAAGCTTTGAGTCTTTTTCATTTAAAAAAGAACAGATTTCTCTCTTTGTTACTTGGGACCTCAGACATGGTAGCTGGTTTTATGTCATATGCAGTGAAGAGGAAAAACAAACATGATTGTGTGAGAGCTTGGGGTTGTGGGTTGTTTCCTTTTTTCCCAAGATAGAGGGATACAATATTTCAAATTATAGCAGTTGTGAAATTTTGGTTTACACAGTGCAAAAAATGTAAGTAGTTCTTGGGTCATTTAGATATTTCTCAGGGGGACAGTTGGAAAAGTTCATAAAAAACATTGTTTGAAGTCCAAAAATGTAATTTGTCAAGATTTACAGGCAGTATTAAAGACTTGAGGAACTAAGGGATTCAAAAATCTGCTTCTAACATAGCTGAGTGAGCTTTAGCTTTACTTTAGAAAGCAGTGTGTCTTCCTGGGTTAGCAGAAATTGTTAATGATAATATACAATAGAAGGTTGGTGCAAGGGTTTCTCTTAAAAAAAATATGCTTTTTAGATCAATTCTCCTCTCCAAGGTCTCAGTATTACTTTGACTGAATAAAATTGTTCCTAGAGGGTTGTATTACAAAGGCTGAGTCTACCCTATTTTGATGATTCCCAAACTTAAAGAGAAGCACACATCACAATAAATAAAAACACACTGCTAGTAGCAGGCATTTAGAAGTCCCATACTGATGAAAATTTGAAGCCAGCTATTCTCATCACAAATCAACCTTTCATGTTCTCAGCAACAAATTCTAAAAGAATGCCCTGGTTTACAATTCTTAATACTTCTTTAGCTTTTTTTCCTTTTCAAATTTAGGGGTACTTGAGTGGCTTTAGGTGGATTTAGGGTTACACTGGTGGGTAGGGAGAGTGTCTGAAGAGGTCATTGAAAACCTTGCACTCACAAACTAGGGCAAAGTTTTGTTATTTGCTTCACTCTCCAGACTGGCATTAGGAGGCATTGTGTTATTATGGCTCCCATCTCACAAGACAGACATAAACCTGGAGATTCATCCACATGTATATAAGTAAAAATCCAGACCCTCTGCCATGAGCTGCATGAGCTTTATTAATACTGAAGCTCTAATTAATTTTTCCTACTTGAATCCCCCTGAAGTGGAAGACCTCTCAAAATCTTTGTAGGAAACATTGTGAGCTTTGAGATTCTGAAGGCTAAGCTCTGAATGTTCACAAAAAGCACTTGATACTTGGTGGTGTTTTCTTTCTTTTAAAATTTTAGAGGCAAGGGGCCCCAGAAAAAACAAGGTGGTATCACAGATTGCCTTGCAGCACTTCATACACAATCTGAATCCAGATCAGCTGTATATCTATAGGAAATTATCTTCTCTTGTACTGATGGAGAACTGCTTTTACTGACAGAGAACTGAGACAGGGAACATACCTCAGGCAGACAGGCAGAACAAGGAAAGGCTCCCCAGTCCCATGTGCACCCCTACTTTGTTTCAGTCATGGGCCAATCTCCCAGAACCATGCTAGTGCAGAAGGAGTCTGCCCCAACTCCATCACAGGGCCAGTGCTATAAGCTACAAGACAGCCAATCTCATGCAAAGGACACAACCTAATGCAATTCAAATATAAATTATGTATGAACATTGTAGCACAAGACAGTTGGGAAGCACATTGTGTAATTCAGCAATTCAATCACGTTTGTTGTTAGTGTACAGTACTGTACACTGTAGTGAGAGAGGCGAACTGTCTCAGAGTCAAGTGGATCAAAAACAGTCTATGAGAGCCAACTAAAAAAGGCTATTGTACTTAGCTGACTGAAGTGGAGAATTAAGTGCCCTCCCTCAATTAAGGAAAATGTGGCAGAGATTATTAACCTGCTTGTTACCTCAGTAACCTGAGATTTAGATTGTGAACAAATATGTAAGACTGTGGATACCTTTTACCAGACAAGAGTTTGGTGAACAGTTTGAGTGAGACAACTGCAGGGCTGGAATGTACTGACACTTAATCTGTTTATAAGACAACACTTAATTTATAAGAGGTAGTCATTACTATTGTATATGTATATACAATATATGTATATATTACGGTATATGTCATCAATATATTACTGTATATGTAAGTTATCAATAAATAGAATGACAGCTATGTGCTGTGCTCCAGTCTGCCATGCAGGTTGTGCACACAGACCTAAATACTCAAAATCCTTCACTGGTGCAATTCCTCTGAGCCACCACAAAGCTTTGGGTTGGGCTGAGATCTCACAGCCACCACAAAGATTTGGGTTGGGTTGAGACTCACAGCATCCCCTGAAATCACCACAGCTCCTCTGTGCAAAGTGCCCATGCTTTGGGCACTTGTGCACCTCATCTCTCTGTTCACTTCATTCTTTGTCTTTTGTGCATCTCAGACTAATGGATAAGACTTCATATTTATTAACATTAAGCATCTTTCACCAGCTCTCCACCCCTTTGTAGAAAAGGCCTGAGGCTACATTCTTCCCTCAGTTACACCTGTCCAATCCCATTGACTTCAGTAAGATTGAACAGGTGTAAGCAAGGAGAAAATTTGGCCCCCTGTTGTCTATGAATTGCATTATCTGTGTTCACCATTGCCTTGACTTTATGTCGCTGGTAAGTATAATTAATTTATAGTTTGTCTTATTCTCTTAGTTGTTTAATAAATAGATGAAAACAGAAGACTCCTGAGGGACTTACTCTAGTTACCTGTAATAGAAACTCCCCTACTGATACAGCTTCTTCAGGAATATCCCTAATACTTCCTCTTCTTTTATCAATTCTTTATGAATTTTCATTATCTTTGGATTTTTCAGTTCTGCAGAATCACGTTTCTTGTGTGTGATAACATGATCTGTTAGGAAAAAAATAGTGATACCTCTAGCTTTTGAAAATGAAGCTATCTTAAACTGAAAATATCTGAGATTTGACTTTTGCAAAGACCAACATCAGCACTTACAATAAATCACATTGCCATAAAGGCTGTTCCTTGAATTAAAACAAAATCAGGGAGTATTCAGGGACAACAGTTGACTTTTTATCATTAACTGGTTTTGTGAGCCTAAGTTGAAGTTTAGTGAATAGCAGTTATTGTTAGTTTTCTCTGTGCCCACCTTTCAAATGCTTCAGCACTAAATCTATCCTTTATTAAACTAGGAGTGTATAAAGCTGTTCCTTGGTACTAGCTAATCAGTCAAACGTAGGCAAACAGTCAACTAAAGCAGAAAAAAACCTTCACCTCAGTGAGAAAACCCCTCCAACGAGATCATCATGAATAATTCCACCAGAACCAGTAAATTTAAGGTTAATATACTTTAAGCACAAAGAAAGAAATTATAAATCCTTACATGTCTTCCATATGGGACTTCTTTGCTTTCTAAGTGCTTTACAAGAGGCGCTATCATCATCCCTATCTTCTGTGTCAGAAAAAGACACATTTAAGCCAAAGATCATCCAGCAGGTCAAAGGCAGAGCAGGCTTTCCAAGGTCCAATTTAGCATGCTGTTCTCTAGGCCAAACCTATTGTACACTACAAGAAGACAAATGAGTTGAATCCCATTCCAATACACTCACTTCATAGACACTGAAACCTCTGCACATTCCTGTGCGAAAAAAACAACAGTCTGACTTGCCTAATATAATATTTTCACATTTTGTATTACTTAAATACTATCCATGGTTTCCTCTAAACTTCTAGTCAAACCTAAGCAACATTAATAAGTTTACAAAGTCAGGGTGCTGATTGATTGACAGTGCTTTTTGCTGTATTAGTGATGCATTGAGAGTAATTATTGAATGGCCGTTCAGTCGAGAGCAGGCCACCCGCTCCACATGTGGCACTCTTCTCACCTTCTACTAAATTAATGTCTCTCCTCCTAGACATATGGATTTCCTGTCAAGGAAACAATCTTCTTCTAGTAGAGATACAACAGACTATTTTGCCAGCATTGTGCAACTTTCAGCTGATAACTAGAGCTCAATGTATTATGCATGTTCTACTGCTCTAATAAATACAGGATTGACTTGTTTACTACTAGCGCTGTTGACTCGATTAGCACTGTGTTTCTCTAGGCCATTATTCATTGGTGAGAGGAATCTGCTTGGTTCTCCATTAATCCAACTGTGTGAAACAAACTGGTTAATTTTTCAGCTTGTGTTGTTTGTTACTTAATGAGGAGAAATCGATTATTTCATTGCTATCATTAACACCCTATTTATGAAGTGCAACATCGTTTATTTTTCTACTTTGAGCAACAAATCAGAACCTCTTGTTTCTCCACTGAGGTTCTGTTCTGAAAGTTACCTCACTGAGGAAAAATGGACATCCTGAGTCCACAGTACAGTGACCTGGAATAGTCTTCAAGACAAGCTCTTTGGCTATGGTTAGTCAGGAATGATTTTCCCTTTTCATTGCTGGAGTTGATACACATTTGGCATCTAGTATCCAGAGCTCATTCACTCTTGTTGTTCATGTGTCTCCAAACATTCTAAATAGGAAAATAACCAATGAATATACCCAAACTTTGAACCTCCACCCATTTTTCTACAGCATCTAACAAGGAATTCCCCAGTGGGACTAAAAGGATTCTTCAGACTGCCAATAAAGTCACAACAAACACTTGCATTTTGTTTAGTGTAGGCAATAGCTGCTAACCAAAGTCTGCTGCCCTGTTTAGGGATGTGGCTTCTCACAGGAGTACATGATCCACCAAGGCCAGCCAGACTCTGGCTATTGTCACTGTGGGGTGGGAAAGAGGAATGAGTGGGGAAAAAGCCCTGCAAAGAAGTGTCAGGAACGAAAGAGAGAATGGATTGAGAAATGAAGGCAGTATGTCCATAGAGGAAAAAAATCCAAGTATAAAGCTGTAGATTAAAAGATTAGACATAATATTGGTAAAACACGGGTGTTAAGACAGCCACAGCTGCTGCAGGAACTAGCCACTCAGAAGCTGGGTGTACAGGATAGCCCAGGTTCTCAAGCACAAGGGCCCTTGGTCTGCATATTAGATCTGTAGGCATCCAGTCTGGTTATGTAAAGTGACAAGCATCTGGCATGCTCTACTCAGCCTTCCACAGATTTTAGACTGCCATTTATGAAAACTTAGGTCAACACAGTATCCATTGTTGAGTAACAGATATATTTCATTACCTTCAAAACACTATGGTCCAAGACATTTTTCACAGTGCTGCCAATATCACAACTTGTCCACAAACACCTGATGCCATCGTAGAAAGCTATATTCTGGGCAGAAAGGAAGCCATGGGTCTAATCTTGTCCTTTCCAATTCTTTCTGAACATCTCTTGAATCACTGTGGAGCTTAACCTAAACTTTACAACAGTTACGTTTTATGCTATATTACTTCCTGGAATGACCAAGCTGCTGGATGAGAACTAGCTCTCCAATTTTTTTGGCTTGTTTCTCAGTCTGCCACAATTCCGATTCTTTTCTTCATCTGTTCACCTTTTAGGTAAAGCATTGTAGAGTCAACATCTCATCGACATTTGCATTAGATTGCCATCTCTGTTGGGGCTGCACTGCAATTTTTTATGGCTGTGTTTTGAGGGGACACAGACCATACCGGCAGGACAAAAAAAAATCTACAACAGGACCATTTCTTTAGAAGAAAAGAACTTTAACCCTGCACTTCTTAGTAGTCAAAAAATACACATCTCACTTTAATTCTGTGTGTGTCAGCTGGAAGCACAGTACCTGTAAAACTAGTCATACTTCAAAAGAAGGGTGGAAACTAAAAGGAAAAAAAGTCAACCAAAAAATATCTACTTTTCCTTCAGATCTGAGAGTCCATTGAGTGCACCCTTTTGCATTGCACTAAAACACAGCAAGAAAGAGTGCTCTTGTAGCATTTCAAAGAGAAGCCAAACATGCAGAGATCACTGTATCTCATGTTACTTTGGAGAGAAGAAGGACTGTGGTGGCTGGGAGACTCCCAGAGAGCAACAGAAAGATTTTCGTAAAGGATTAACATGTAGTGTCCACAGGACACCACTGATTCAGTTCACGAGCTCCCTAGAAACCTGAACAGTCCTTGGTGGTATTATGTGAGGTGGCTGTTATTGAACAGGATGATATTGCTGTAAGAGTTCTTTCTTGCAGTCCTCAGAAGCACTTGTAAAGAGAATCACAGTGCACACAAAAGTCAGAAAGTTACAATGTGGAGGCAGCTATCTTTTTGCAGAGCATATTGTATCAATGAATCTCTGATGTAAAGCTGTATTTGCCTCTCTTCAGCTTGTCCTATGGACTGTCACTTGAATAAAAGCATGATTTTGTTACAGCATGCTTTCCATCTTGTTCAGTTTTTACAGGCCAATGTAAAACTATATGTCCCATATGGTGTCATCAGTTCATACACACAAAAAGACCACCCAATCTACAATGAATTGGTAGAAACAGGAGAAATTAAAAAAAAACCCACAGGGATTTAATGCTAGATGTCTGGAGAAAAGAGGTGAGGGAAGATGTTGGACGATTTTATTCACAGTTTAACTAAATCCTGCCATAATTTTCTGGATAAGCCATTTAAGCTCTGTGCCTCATGCATGCCTTCTCCTCTGAAGCAAATCCATTTTGGGAACAGAGTAAAGCATCACAGCTCTGACCTGGCAAGAATCTGCCTAATTTCTTACATGTTGAGTTAGTCTGAAGGAGGGAAGGTCTCAGTCATGACTTTTCTGTGAAGAACTTTGTTGCACTCTGTAGACACAGTCTAAGAATCAGACTGACCTTTGCACTTCAGTGGGGTTCTTCTTCCTCCCACCACACCAAGCATGCAGCCGGGGCTGTGAACCATGGAGCATGAACACACCTGGATCAAAATTAGAAAGCAGGGTACACCTTTAGATCATTGAACAGCCAGATTACCTAAGTACTGCTAGAAAAGATCCCGCTCATCTTAGGAAAAATAGACACTTTCTTGCCTTCTAGTGGTGTTCATGGTCAAACAAATGTTCTTCATCCCTTTAAGGCTGCACTCGTGGACACATTAATTATTTTCTCTTTATATCTCCAGATTTTGAGCACCTATCTCACCACTATGCCTTCCTGAAGAAGTAATTTGTTACAGTTTTTGCAGTATCCTCTTCCTAAATAACATTTACTGTGTTGTGCTATTCTGAGAAGTGACATTATGAAAGCAGCAACAAAGGGTTCTATGTTCAGAGAGGCTTACTAGATTCCTAATTAAATATGGTTAAAAAACACCTCAAAGAGTGCCAGATATGTAACTTTCATCCTGAAGACTCAAGGTGAGATCTGACCGTCAGCCAGGCTCTCCCTTTACTTCACAGCATTACCAACAGCGTTGCAGCTGCAGCACGATGTACTGACTGACAGCTTCACTGGGGCTCAGACACTTTACAGCAGTGAAAGATCTGTCTCGAGGGATCCCTCAGCAATGTTCCCCTAAGCAAGTGCCTCACTGGGATCTGCAGCATCCTCTGAAATGCCAGAGCTCAGCCACTGTAGCAAGCAGGAGCTGAGCATTTTGGGGAACTACATTCTGGCACAATGGAGCAAGAACCAGTATAGGCTGCGTCCAAGACCTCCTCTAATGACTTAGCTGAAATGGTTTAAGAATTACCAACCCAGTAGTTTGCTTCAGCTCCATGTGCTGCCCCAGTGTTGCAAGTACCTTTATGTGGACTAAACCATTTTTATATCATTTAAATTTACCTGGGTGGGATTGCCCTGAAGCAGTCTAGGAGCTCACACAGGATTTATTTGACATCTGATCTGTAGGCTGTATTATTCTTCAGCTATGGGGAAGTAGTCAACCAGAAGGAGTAGGCTCTTAAGCCACTCAGTCATACCTGCACCCACATAGGAGTTAAATGGATTTTTTCTACATTGCTGAAAGGTAAAGATCCTGTTTGAAATAGTATTTGAATACTTTAGGTTTTTATTGTAGGTCATATATGTGATAGAATAGGCACAGTTTCACCTAGGCAGCTACTTTTATTACTTAAATCAAAATAAATTATATGAAACAAACACCTTCTTTAGATATCAAAGTGGGCAAACACAGCTACTCATCCATACTGAACTGACGTGCTGTTTTTCAGAGCAGAATCACATCTTGAACAAATAAAAATGTTTTGTAAATGCTGTAAGCAGTTAATTTTTTTCTTGTTACCGTGCATTTGTGCTGTGTGTTAAACTGTTCTGTTTTCTCCATTCCTCTTTCTCTTCTAATGGAATCAACCATGGCAATTGCAACCAAGGTTGCAAATAGGTTCCCAGAGATATATAACTGTTTTTCCTACGGACCAGCAGCAACTGGTTGGACAGGAATGGCCCTTCTATCATTAGATATTATGCTCATCCTGCCCATAATATGCTAGAAGTCAGAGTCTCATCTAACCTAAGGGAACTGTTACCTTTATTCATTTCCCCACCATACTGAAAACACCACAATAATATATTCTGTCTAAGAAATAAAAAGGTTCCTGTAGATATAGTTTGGGTTTGTGTGTGCTGCTGAAAGAGGTCAGTTCTGTTAATGGCATGTGAGAAGTATGTATACAAACGTGCTCACTGCTGGGCAATCACTAGCCTTTAATGTGTGGAGAAATCAGCAGAGACTCATATGTATGTTTTATTAATTCTTCCTCTATCTTGGTCTGTGCAGGCCTGGTGCATGCAGTTATTTAGGAATTTACATACCATTGGTTCTAAGGTTTGAGGACAGATAAGAAAATTGATTAACTACCACACAAATAAATCCAGCAATGCCTTTGAAGAGTCAAGGCCTCCGTATAGTCATGATGCTGTTCTGCTGAAAAACTGTGAAGCAGGATGCCAGCACCCCTCAAACCAGGAAGGTGAGCTTCAGCTCACAGTCATCTTACTCTGACACTGAAAAGAAGAATTACACCCAATTCCCCATCTAACCCAATGTTCTGTTTGCTCTGTGAATTTTATAGATAAACAGAAACAAAAAGTCCAACAATTCAGGGACATTTTAGAAAGACATATATACAAAATTTTACTTCTTTTACAAACAGAGTTACTTTCTAAGTTGTCTAAATAAAAAAAGTAAAAAATACCAAACCAAACCCAAACAAACAAAATATCTCCACAAAAAAAACCCCAAAATTCTGCAGCTTTTCCTATTCTGTCCGACTAAACAGTATGTTCTACATGTAGCTTTTTTCTGGCTTGCTTTCCAGCTCAAAAGCCTAAATTGGGGAACAAGGATAATTCTTCTAATTTTATAAGGGAGGCTTGGAAGATCAAGTTTATTGCAAGATGTTTCATACAGATGTATGAAAGCAGGTCCCAGAATACAAGGCAGGTGACCAGAACATGGATTACAGCACAGAAATAGCAAGAGAACATGGCAATTTGATGCTGAAGAAATAATTGCAGTATGTGTAGGGCAACATTCATATTTCAGCTCTTAAAGTCACCCAAAGCAATAAGCATGATCACCAGCTGCTCTGTATGGATCATACAACTGAGAGGTATTTGAATCAGATGGGACTGTCCTTCATAAACCAAATTACATTATGCTCAGGTTAGTTTCCACACTTCCATACAGAATACCATAGGCAGAGAGCTAAATGTGTTTTTACCCTGTACATATTAAATAAACCAAATGTACAGACAACAACAGCTGCTCACGAGCCTTACTCTAGAGCAGGGAAGAGCTCAAATGTTTCTCCCTTATTCACAAAGACAGTAAAGTGTATCAGCATCTGTGAATAGCCTCTACTATCAGGAGAGTCTTTGTCAAGGATAAACTAAATAAAATCTCCACAAAGTGTGAAAGATCAGTCTGATTTCTTATTCTGACAGAATCATGAATAGCCACTTAAATTTTGAATACCATCTGTAATCTCATTACAAGAAACTTTCCTAAAGCCAAGATGGCTTCTTGATCAAGACATAATTGCACAGAAGCAGAAAATAAAGAAGGATTAGAGAATGTAGTCTTAAAAAATATAAAGGACAAGGTTTGATTGCATAGGTACATCCATGGTAGAGAATGAGGATAAGGCTTACATACAAGGGAGATTTGTTCCACATACCTGGTTCTGAAATGTGCTGGGAGTAGATCTACACCCAGTAGGAAGTCTCTTACATAGAAGATAAAAGTAAGCTTCTTCACCATGAGCACCTCTCTTTTTGCTGTGCCCTTGCAAAGCTGTAAACAGCTTGGCCAACAGGCACAGAATAGTGAGCTTCTGTCCCTCTGTCTCTACAGACTTTACCCGGCAAAGTTCTCGGTGGAACCTCAGAAGATTCTAGCCAGAAAAGGCCTGCAATAACCTGTGAAAATTTACCATCAGAGAAGACAAATCACTGGGAACTGACAAAAATAGACACCTGATTTCATGGGTATTCAACAGGTATAAATCTCTATTTCCAGCAGAAACTTCTAGATCTCTCCACAGAGGAGTCATTCTCATTCACCACTTCTAAGGGGTCTGATACTAAGACACAAAGAAAAAATACAGAAGTTATAGAGAAAACTTAGCCCTATTCTATTACATCTCATGGCTCTGGTTGGGACCAAGGACAAAAAATGATAACTTCACCACTTTCTGGTTATTCCACATTTGTGGCAGCAGGAACTAACCTCTGATAATGCCCCTCCAGTCTACATCATGGTTGAATGGGAATCTCTGGAAGAATGGAAAACCTTTACACAACAGGATATATGCCTCCATTGAATCAAATTCTATTCTCAGGTGGAAGGAAATAGAGTGATTACATATGGACTCACATCAACACCAGTCCTGAAAGCAGATTTTGACTGACTGCATCTTCCCTAGCTGATTTTACTAATGTCTGATTTTTTTTTTAAATGAGCCATATTTAAATCTCCCATCAGTGCAGAAAGAACTCTGCATGAGTTGGCACAAAATAGGATCTTTTCTGCTCAGGTTAGCAGTGCTCCTGCTGGACAGGGCTGAGCTGAAGTTTCCTGGAATCCTAGGCAAAGGCGAGTATCACTATGGACTCTAGGACCCAAGTAATTCACGCTGATTAAACCACTTACCTTCGAGAAGGTACGGCCAATGGTGCTTAAAGTGGGGTGAGGCTCAACGTTTTGCTGACTGCTGTTGAAATTGGTAACAGACTTTGCATATTATATCACCAGGTTTTTTTGGTTGTATATCACATGCAGTGTTTTTCTGCTTTTGACTTTGAGGTGTGAGGGGGAAGGCTCTAATCATATGGCCTTGTGCAGATGCTCCATTTGCATTTCTATTAATCCAGGCCCTCCTGGAGACGTTTGAGCATAGGCACAGCATGCTCTGCGTTTGAACTTGTGAGAACCCACACCACTGCTTAATAACTTAATACATATGTATAGCCTCCTTCAGCAGCCCACTAGGAGGCAGAAGCAGGGGGAGGCACTATTAGTGCATAGGCTGCAGGGCTCTATGTAAATGAATTTTGACAGGGAGGATAACTTGCCGAATAAAGAACTCAGCTCCTTAGTGCTGGGCTGGTGCTGATTTAGGTCAGAAAACTTGTTTTACCAGAATTTGTACAAATGAGAGCTCACATGGATCTGCTGGAGAATGTTTAAGGTATCTAGCAACTTTGCTTGCAGCACATGAATGCAATAATGATACTTTCCACACAGACTGTCTTACAGGAACAAAAAATACATGAGCTTCTTTGTCTTTGTTCCCCTCTACTTTTTTGTTTCCTGAACACCTCTCCTCAGAAGGAGGATCTCCTCAGAAGGATACCCAACCCTGTTGCCACAATAACCATAATAAATAGCAGTTTCACCATGTTTGAAGTGAATAGTTCATGGCTTAGAGCAGCAACCTCTGGATACAACTGGTCTGAGATCTCTTAATAAAAACCAGCTTTCATTGGAAAAATAGAGTCAAAAGGGAAAGGTTTTTTATAAACTATACACTCTGGAGTACATTTCTGCAGGACACTAGAAAGAGGAGAGGTAAAAGTCCCACAGATGTCAGCAGAGATGGGTGTAGATGGGGCATCAGGGCTGCCACAGCAGCATGCCTGCACAGTCTGGGGTCTGTCAACCCTTGCAAACACCCTCCAACCCCAACACACTCTTATCCATGCAGAGACACCCAAAACTGCTGCCAGCCACATTTCTGCTACTTCTCCCTGGAACATCCTCATCCAATTCTTGATCTGAAAGAAGCCAGGTAGGGATTTGAACAGGGTTTGACTTGCATCCAGTGAGAAGCAACAGGTGGGAGAAAGAAGAGAGGAAGGACTGATCCTGAATGTCTCCTTTTTTTCTCCACAAAAAGTTCCACTGTTCATTTCAATGCAAAATAGAAACTAAACACATCTCAAATTCCCTCTCTTCCACCACTCACTCCACCATAATTCCTGCTTTCCAGCTAGCTCCAGCAGATGAAAGCAGTTAATGTGAAACTCTCTGCAAGGACAACATCATAATTTTCCTACACTTTAAAAAGAAAGTATCCATTAGTCTCCCCACCCCCAACACACCTCTGAAGTCCCCATTAAAGTCTTCTCTATACAGGCCTAGCTCACAGTGAATTTACATCAAATTCCAGGAAGAGGCTCCTAGCTGTCCCATAATAAACAAATTTGGAGAAGCGAGGAGATGCCAGCCTCCAGGACTGACACTGGCTGCAGACAAACAGCCATACAGGCAGTAACTGATTGGGCCACAGCCTTTAAAGTGGCAGCTGAGACAAATGAAAAAATGACATGCTGAAAGCATCACTAAGAGAGGAGAAAGAGCCCAGGTCTGAGAGTCAATCTTAGTCCATCAGGTAAAGAGAATAGATACGCATGGGGATAATTGGTGATGAGACACTTGAAATTAGGTGTATGATAGGTCCCCCACTGCCCAGCCACATCCATTTTTCTTACACTCAATGAGCACTGAGGGACAGGGGTGAGCTAAGAATATTTCTTAAACCTTTGCATTCTCCTGTCACATTTCCATGACTCCGTATATTCCTCACAGACACACAGACAATTGCCTTATGCGTGCTGTCACCCACACTGCTTCTCTGCAGATGTGTGGCTGCAGGCAGAGCTCACGGCACAGGCCCTGCTCATGTTCCCGCAAGTCTCAGCAAAAGAAAACAAAGCTCAGCCTGCCGGTGTCCATGTCCATGTCCTCACACTAACACCACGTACTGCTTTCAGCAGCCCAGCACAGCCAATGAAATGGGGCCCAAGGCATGGCAGGATGCCCAGTTTCCAGCCAGTGGGGAGCTCTGGAGGCTCTCAGGGGCAAAGGGCAAGGGCAGGCCCAGCCTGGCCTCACCCACACCTGTGAGAGGATGTGACAGATTGAATCCCAGGCTGATGAGCAGTGGGACATGGCTGCTCCTTCACATTGCCACCCATGTCAACATTGCACGTCTGACTTCTCTCAAAGCCCACAGACACAGCAGGAGAGGGTGGGTAGGAAGGCTGGCAGCCCACAGGCCAAGCTAGGCCACTGTTTTGAGAGGAGCACTGGGGGTGCTCTGGCCACAGAGGCGACAAGGCTGGTGCAGTGTGCCAGCACACATGCACTGCTCCCAAGGATGGGCACTGCCCCTGCTCACCTCACACATCCTGGGGATGGGCACTGCCCCTGCCCACCTCACACATCCTGGGGATGGGCACTGCCCCTGCCCACCTCACACATCCTCACCTCACACATCCTGGGGATGGGCACTGCCCCTGCTCACCTCACACATCCTGGGGATGGGCACTGCCCCTGCTCACCTCCCATGTGCCAGGAGACACAGCCAGCACACGCTCTGCAGGGCCAGCACCCCACTCCTGGGGCTGGTGCCAGGGTCCCAGAGGTGAAGAAAGCAGCCAGCCACTGTAAGGCCTCTTTTCCCCTTTCCAATTAGCAGCCGATGGTATGAAGTTGTCCCTCAAACCACAAATGCCACAGCTGAAAAAGGCAATGCCCAGCCTCACAGGGATGGCTCCTGCTGTCCCACAGAGGAGCAGCCATTCCCCCCAACACCTGCAGGCAGCGGCTCGCCTCGCTGAGGCCAGCAACACCCACTCTTCCCTTTTCTTCACGAGCTTCTTGCAAATGACATGAACCCATACTTATTAATTTACATTAAGTTCATTTAACACCAATGAAAGAGACCAGAAGTGTCTAATGAGCAAACTGTAATGAGCTACCAGCAACTGCTAATCATGTTCAGTTTATGCATTCTTGCTTCATTCTTATAGAGAATTATAGAATAAATGCTTTGCTCTTATCTTACAAGAGGAAAAAAAAAATCTCTAGGTATTGTACCAGTGAATAACAAAGGAATGAACAAGCTTCTGGTTTTCCACTGCATATAATGATAGAGATGCTGTGAATTCTATGGACAAAGTACATGAAGAAGTACCCACAAGTACTGAAAATTTAATTAAAAGTCAGAAAGCCATTGCAATGAAGACTCAGCAGAAAGCCATTTATTTTTAAAATCTAATATATTCTTCATGACTAAAGGCTAAAGCACACGCTGACTTACACATTTAGCTGTAACTGATTTAAGCTACTTGATGATTTTTTTGCGCACAGGGTGGCGCTCAATTTGCAATGGAGTAAATTGGCAGAATTTAATTTGGTGGATTTTTTTAACTCTGCAAAAAGAATCCTCATTAAAACCTCACGATAGGCTGTATACTTTTTTCATCATTAACCAGCCTAACTGCAGGTAAAAGAGATACAATTATGGATTTATATAAATCCTATTGTCAATTTACAGCTCAAAGACTGGTGAGTTACCTCATTTTAAATAGGTTATTTTTTCCCCTTAACCTTTCTTTGTTTTAATGAGGATTTGGTTTGTCATTGTCAGGGTGCTTGTTTGCAGGAAAGTTTCTCATCTTGTGAAGAAGGTGTAAGGAATAAGGATAGAAGACTTCCTACTGAATTTCAAACCTCATCACAAACCCTGTCCTGGACATTTTGTCCTTAAAATTCTTCCATGAAGACAGACAGACCTCAGCTGCTGATTCCTCACTCTCTCAACTGCCCCACAACAGCTCTAGCTCATGCTTTGGCACTTTCCACCTTACTCGTGCTCAGATTTTTTCCTCTTTGCTGCACCTTATTTTAATCCCACCTGCCACCAAAGTACCATTAAATTCTTTGTTCTGCCTCATTCAGAACCACCAGCAATTCCAGATTCAGGCTACATGGGCTGGGTAGAAAATTGACTCAAAAAAAACCCCAGAACTCTCAAAAGATGAGGACAGACAGTGTTGAGAGACCCTTCTGTTAAACAGGAGCCCAAGGTCCAAAATAAGGTCACACATATTCAATGAGACACATTCTCG